AATCAAATTCGAGAAAATACATTTGCATGCTAATTTAAATTAAAATACATGAAATGTTAAATGAAATATAATGATATACTTAAAATTTAAATTTTAAACCTATATTCCATGGAAATAGCTCATCAGAAATCTTATGTTTTGCAAATTTCTACGATTTTGCAAGAAAATCGTTCCGTACTGATACTTTTCTTCGCCATCGTAGATGAAACGATTCTATGGTAGAAAGTACCCATACTTTGTTTTATTTGCCCTGATTACTAGCTCACACTATGCTTTTTAAATAATGCATCTCACTTCGTGATATTTTCATTCTGTGCCTCTTTTGTATACTCCATAGAGTGCTTGAATTAAGTTCATTCACGACCCCAGAAAATATACTTTTAAGAAATAAAGAAATTATCCTAAACACACAATTATTAGTTCGATTTTAGAAGATGTATAACAAAATATAAATAAACAATTTTAAACTATCAATGTAGATGTATACGAGGAAAATGATTTTAACCCCTTGTCGTACGATTTCGTATCCAACTATGACCGATACACCTACTTTGTTATTAATAATTTATTAGAAAAAGACAAAAATCCTGGACATTTTCTATGCCCATGTTTGTACGAAACTATAATAATTGATAACACAAGAGTAATATTTATATTTGTTAAATTCTGTTTAAAATCTTCACCACGAGTCTGACATCTTATTATAAGGCAAGGAATTTAAAAGAATGTATATTCTCGCAAACATTTATTCCCTTGCTAAAATTCGGCGTTTCATAAAAATACCGGAAAATCTATCACTGTAGCCGAAAATACTGACGAGCGAGACGATTAAAGTTTATCTGCATTACTCAATGAAAAATAAAAAAAAACATGCCGCTTGAATCGAGTTATCGCGACGTTCAACAACCGAACATCGAACGAAAATTATCTAGAATCCGAAGTCCAAATTTCGAGTAGCACCTTAGATGGTCATCGGCCACGAAAGTCGAAAGCCTTTCTCTATCGAACGAGTTTCGAAATCGCCGAGGTGAAATTGCCGAGGAAAGTTACGAGCTGGTGTAGCTGAAAAGGAAAGAGAGGAAAAAGTCACAATAAAACGCGAACGCCGTGAATTCGTCGGATGCAACCGGCGAACAATGACTCCGAAACTCGTCCCGATATCGTTATTGTTTTTAATGCTAAAACTACCTCTAATTTCATACGCTTGATATGAAATCTTTATAAAAAGGTTGTAACCATAGATTTTCTCAGTTTCCTAGGATATTCGTTATAACATTCAAATGAAACTATTTATTTTTAAAATCATTCCGGGTATTTGTGCTGATAATTTTGAAAAAGACTATTTTAAAGTGTTTTCAAAGATTAAAAATCATATTTCCTTATGAAATTCTGACCCCAAGTTAATATAATTAAATTTGCACATCAGCACAGAGCCATGATGAATTCTTATTTTTCAAAATTAAATATTTTTAATAAAAATATTTTTTAATCTATTCTAGAGCGAACCTTTTAATATGTCGAAACTAAAAATATGACTAGTTCGCCTTCAAAATTAATGGTAAATTTAATACCTTTGAGATACCAGTAGTTAGTAAATAAGAAAACTGAAACCAGTCATTTTAACTGGGAAGGATAGTTACAATATTAAATTGCCATAAAGTAATATCTTTCGATTTTCGCGGTTTTCGGTTTTAATTCGAAAATAATTCACGCGACCGCGCGCAGGATTTGAAGAAAGTAAGTGAGGATTCTCGTTAGAATAATCGTTTATAAGGGGCAATCGTGACCAAAGTATGCTAGTTAAGTCGAGACTTGGCTACGAATAAATGAATGGAGACTCTATTCACCAAGGAAACAATTTATAGAACGATTCAGGTATTTTTACTCGAGGACGCGCGCCCACGTGTTCTCCGCCATTGCTTCCCCGTTCGATGCATTACCCGCAATTTCGGTGTCCTCGCTTCGAAGCTAACTTCTGCTGACGTTTACGCCACCCAAAAACTCCCATTTAACATACATATTATAAATATAAAAATAATATGAGAATACAATTCACAGAAAAAACAAAATTGTTGAAATATTCACTGAAACATAAAAACAATTTACGAATTTCGAATGCCAAGTAGAATAAATTCGGTTTAATCGTGATTAGGAATTTCAAAAGATAATACTCCGATTATAAGTTTGATATGTTATTGATGAACACGAGTGCGCGTAATATAACATATAAAAAAAATTTCAGAAAGACATAAGAACGTTGTTTTACAATTAACTTTGTAAAGTTCTAAACACTAGATTTACGGAATATTAATATTATTTGGTAAGTGTATTGAGTTTGATGGATACAATTACAGGAATATGTATCCTAATTATGTATTATTAAATCAAAAATTTTCAAACTCAAAATAAAGGAACATTCTTTTAGTAGCAATAGAATAATGTACAATAAATGAAATTGTACAATAAATGTCCGTAAACCTAATGTTAAAATAAGAAATGAATTTGTATTTAATTGCGTCTATGGCTTATTTGAAAAAATGTTTATTTCGCACAAGATCCCGATAATCCAAAATACTTAATTCAACGAAGAAAATTAGTAATATCGGCGTCATGAAGATATAACGTGCCGGTGAACACATGTAAAATTGTTTTCCGGTTTTCACGTGCCACATAACAAAGGCATTTGTATTCAAATTAGAATATACCAGAAGGTATAATAATACAATTTTATTCCGACGCTGCTTCGGAGAAATCTGTGGCCTACGAAACAGCGGAAGAACAATTTTGCGGGCACGTCGCGTTAGACAGCCCAAGGTATACCAGTGTATACACATTAACAAATGTATGCGAAACATGATTTACAGAAACTAGTCGGACGCGCGTATAAATTGAAATATTGCTAGTCACAGCGTGTCAAAACTGTAACAGAACTTCCGCGTTGAAACTGGATTACGTGAACTAGAACCATGGGTGTAAATACGATTTTGTTCCAACATAAAAACAAAGGTTAAATGGAAAGAAAAACAAAATTTAACTGTATACACACCGCGCATAAATTTAGCGTGATGTTTACCGACATCCTATGATCAAACGTTAAAATCAATTCTATTTTATAATAATTCTGTTAAGAACAATAGACACATATTCAAACAAAGTATATAAAAATGAAGTTTATATATTTAAAATTAATAGAAAATATGAAATATTCTTTTGCAAATGAAATAGTGAAAATATTACTTTGAAATATCATTATTATCAGTGAACATCAATAGAAAATAAATAAAGCATAAGCAAGGTAATATATTCATTAGATAATAGTAATATTATCATACATGTTAGATAATTTAAAGTATTTTAAATTTCTTTGTATCCAACTCCGACGTAATACTTTACGTAATAAGATGAGAAAGTGTGTAGTAATTGTATAGAATGCTGATAACTTGCGCTGAAATAAATAGAAATGATCACTGAAATACTGTTTCATCGAATATTACACGCGGTCGTATTCTGATACGACAATAAGTTTTCAAACGAGCGTAAGCCCGGATAATTCAATAAAATGAACAATTCGGGCATGTTTTAGGGTCAACATATCGAAACAATGAAATCGCAACGCATATTTCCATAAAAGAATCGTTAATCGAATATTTCGGAAGAGAATCGCGCGCGCGCGCGCGCGCGCGGCTGGAACGACGCAGAACGGAAAAACACGAAAACACGTCGGTACGAGGTTCAGTTCGAAGCGGCGAACAGGTCATCGCAAGTTCGAGCGGATCACCGAGTACGAATAATAACAATATCGTTCGCGGAGCAACTGACAATCGATTCTACCGCGTACGAAAATCGAGAACGCACGTTTATTCGTTATAATAAATTACACGCCTAGCAATCTTTCAAACGTAATAATCGGTAAACGTTTTCCACATTTTTTTAACGGCTCAACGTCGACGTTTGACTGACGAACAACAAGCTCGACCTCCAACGAACGCGAACCACTGAAGATCGAATTTGTTTTCGCTACGATTTGACGGATATTCACCGCAAACTTTCACTTCTGCCAACTATAAAACACGAAATGCTGAAATCTTAACAATAAATTTGCCCAATGTAAACTCCATTCCAGATTTTATAATTGCTAATAATTATTCTAAACAATACTGAACGTTTGTAAATTAAATAACCTACAATTAGAAATGTTATAATAATGCACAGTAATGTTTACACGAGAGAAAACGTTTCAATATAAAAATTCAGATTCATAGAAAAATAAATTAGCGTCAATGAATAATCGAAGTACTATACGCGATGAGTTTGAGCAATAGAAAGTCATTTTTCCAAGGTACTACGATCTCCAAATCACGAGCACTGTTTTGTTGTTACAAATTCTATCCGTAGATGCCCTACCATTTCCACTCGTTCCATTCCATATTTGTCCGACAGGGCAATAGACCGTAGCAGTCGGAACAGAATACGAACCAACACCGTTGCAGAAATGTTTGCGCCACGGTACCACCGAGTACCAAGCAAGCGCTACAAACCCGCCACGAGAGTATTCAACGTGATCGGTTTCACGCTGCAAAGAATTTTCCCGATATTCTCCCGCTGCCATGTGCCAGCCGACCCACAGCCATCTTTTCACCATGAGTTTCGCTTATCTCGCTGGGCGATTCTCGATTCTTCGAAGCAACGGAAAACAATCTCCGCGTTATCGCAATCTACCGATCAAGGCTGATCGTCGTGCAGATAACGAACAGTACCAACAATCGATAGTACAAAAAGGTATGCACACATCACCTGATTCACTGTAAACTCTTTATCGTCTTAATCGCGTTTCGGTCCTTCGTAGCTAACGCTCGACGTTACGTACCGGGTGTCGCGACTTTTAACGACATTGACTCTCGAAAGATTAAAAAAAACGGCTACGAAGAGACACACACGGAAACGCGCCGAGGAGACGAATCGAATGTCAGACGAACGGGAGAAAGAAAAAAAATTCTTACCTTAAAAAGATGCTCGCTACACTCGAACATTGGCGTGCTCATGACGGCGGT